GATCAGTTGGAATCGGTTTTTGTGTCTGGGAAAGCTAAGACGAGTGACGGCTTATGTGCTACGGTTTGTCACCAACTTAAGAAAGAAAACGGACGCGCGTATGTTTGGACATCTTTCGATCGGCGAGCTCAATGTAGCGCATGATTTCTTGGTAAAGAAAGCGCAGTCGGAATCGTTTGAAGAAGAGTTGAAAGTATTACAAAAAGGAAGTGACGTCTCGAAACGGAGCAGATTAAAAGCTTTTGATCCAAGGATTGAAAGAGGGTTTTTGGTTGTCGGAGGACGGATCAATCGAGCAGCAATGCCTTACAAATCGCGACATCCGGTCATCTTAGATCCAAAACATCATCTAACACACCTAATAATTGATGAGATGCATCGTGAATACCATCACCCACCCACGGAACATCTGCTGAATTTGATTCGTCAAAAGTACTGGGTTATTCACGGACGACAAATGGTACGAAACCGAAAGTTTAAGTGCGGCTATTGTCGAAGACAATCAGTTAAACCACACGTGCAAAAAATGGAAAATCTTCCAGCTTGTCGACTAGAAGCTGGTGTGGTATTTCAGAACACCGGAGTTGATTTCTTCGGACCGATGTTTGTCAAAGAAAAGCGGTCCACCCTCAAAGTTTACGGTTGTCTTTTCGTTTGTATGGCTACTCGTGCGTGTCACCTTGAGTTAGTAGATGACCTTTCTACCGACCATTTCCTAATGACATTAAAACGATTCATGGCCAGGCGAGGACGGCCAAAACGAATCTACAGTGATAACGGAACAAACTTTGTCGGGGCTGATAACGAGTTGAGAGCCTGCCTTACTCAACTCGACCAAGAGAAAATACATAATTCGCTGACACCGCAGGGTATGGAATGGCATTTCCAACCACCTTTGTCTCCTCATTTTGGTGGTGCGTGGGAAAGATTGGTCCAATCTACAAAGAGAACCTTGAAAGCTATCCTGAACGATAGGGTTGTTGTAAAGGAGGCGCTCAGAACGGCGTTGGTAGAAGTTGAAGGAATTCTAAATAGTAGGCCTATCACCCAAGTGTCTAGTGATGCAAATGACTGGGAGGCACTTACCCCAAACCATTTGATCCTCTTGCGTGCTAATCCAGCTGTTGCTGATGTTCATGTTGAAGATAAGGAGATAAACTCTAGGAAAGTGTGGAGACAGTCGCAAGCTTTAGCGAATTTCTTCTGGAAAAGATTCATTACTGAATACATTCCAAGTCAAACGAGGAGGAAAAAGTGGACGGAAAAAGCTCGTAGTATGAAAGTCGGGGATCTAGTTCTTGTTGCTGATTCAAATCAATCTCGGGGGATGTGGCCAATGGGACGAATAACGGTAGTCTATCCCGGAGCTGATAAAGTGGTTAGAGTCGTGATGGTCAAGACGCCACAGGGAGAATACAAAAGATCAGTCACCAGACTATGTCTTTTGGAAGAGGTGGACAGCGATGATGGTTGTCTCGGTGGTTCCTCAACTGGGGGTGGGGATGTTCCCGCTTCTGGGGACTGAGAACTGGCGCGAGCCCTGAGAAACTGTGAGGGGCCCCCGGCAAAAGAATTCAGTATTCGCACATTGTTGACTTTTGGACGATTTTAGTATTTTGGACAGTTTTACGTACATTTTATGGTTATTTTGGGGATTTGTTTCGATTGATATTACAATGTTTTGTTGATTTTGAGTTCGTGTGAGTGTGTTTGGTCGCCCCGCGACAATGACAGATGGTTGTTGGTGACAGAAAGTTTGGTGTGGTATCGTATGTACTAGTAGGGGGGTCTTGTGATATTCTCCCCCAGAAATTTTTTTGTATTTTTCCACCCCTAGAACTGAAATGTGAGCATTTTCTGAAACAGATAGACCGAATCTGATCAGTTAAGTGTACTTGCAAGGTATGTTTATGTAAATACCACAACTGGGTCACTCAGGGGGTAGAAAGCTTGTTAAACTTAGTGAGCCTGACTCCCACGATCGCGAGGCGCTACCATGGTTGGCGTCGAGCAGGGAAATTTTGAAAATTTCGAGTCTCTAGATCGTTGGAAAGTAGCATTTTCAGAGTCTTCTTTTTTGCTATTTGTGATCATTATAGAAATCAGAACTCTAGACATGGTATTTAAGTTCAAAAATTTTTATGACCCCCCCCCTTTATCTGTGTTAAAACCTTTTTGACCCCCCCTATTTATAAGGGTAAAACTTTGTTCCCCCCACCCATTTCCCACACCCCCCCTCCCCATAAATAATGACCACTCCCTTATGCAAACTCACATACCTAAAATGCAGGAAATCGCATTTCAGGGATCCTAGATTTCAAAATATTCTGGGGGAGCATGCCCCCCAGACCTCCCATAAAATGGCTCACACCTTTTACGCTGGCTACACCAATGTCTCTATACCATCTTCTTTATATATCAATGCTATAAAATTTTATTGTCTCCCCAAAATACTTCTTCAAAAGATTTAATTAAACCACTCTTTTACATCCATAAAATATATCCCCCCCATTATTTTACCAGCCCCCCCCCCCAACCGATAAATAATGAACCCTAAGCATTTTATATTTCCCAGTTGAAAACATATTAACAGGTGTACAATTGACGTATTAAATTTGCAAAACACATAATAGACTACAGACGTATAAACAACATGGCAAACATGCACTTTCATGTACTACAAAAACTCTCTGACAGCCTGTGAGCAACATACTACATTTAAACCTTTTTAGAGTCTTAGAACATACAAATCTTTATTCTATATTAATGAATTACTTTTTCTACGTCGTGCGATGCTTCGAAATCCATCAATACGCATAGGAGAACGGGGCTGATGTTTTCAATTTTTATGGAGAATTGTAAAGAAATAAGTTAACCTGATTTTAACATATTTTCTCATAAATCTGCCCGAATTTTCTTGATTTTTCCTAGCGTTTACCCAAATTTCCATGGTTTTCCAAAATTTTGGGTAGCAGTTGCCCCCTCCCCGCCCCCTGTCTTGTACGCCTATGTCAATAAGGCATTTACAACATGAACATAATACGAAGCCAAAGTGAAAGTGTAAGAAACTTTAAAGAAAGCGTGCTAATTCTCGTATTTTACTCCGTACTCGTATGTTACTCGTGTGTACTCGTATGTTAATACTCGTGTGGTGTTTTAATCACGATCCCCCTGTAAGAGTTGAGATTCATCAAAAGACCTCGTCCACAGGGGTGTGTATATTAAATGGAATGGCTCATTATTTATAAACACATATGTTTGTATGATTTAAAGCATTTTGATCACAGATTTTGATGGCTTTTGTTTCTAATGAACTCCAAATCTTACAAATTGTATGTTAAAAAAAGGAATTCCATAGGAATTTCTTGGGAAATGCTTCACAATTTCCATTTTCTTACAAATTTTGCTTCGCGAAATGTAAGAAACGCATCCGACATCACAAATTGCGAAGTGTGCCGAGCCGCTAATTCGTTCTCTGTAATAAATATAAAGAATTAATATCCAATAAAAAGTTCCACCAACCCTGGTCTAAAATGGCTAGCACGTTCCTTTTCCTTTTCTGCTTTGAACTTCTCAAAGGATGCTGGATTTATCCTTGGCTTTGTATTTTCTGACGGTTCACCTCGCTGTGCCCGAGGCTGTGCCACTGAGTCACGAGAAATTTTCGTTCCACATTTTGAACAAAATGTATGATTTACATCCACATTACTACCACATGACGAGCAAAACATGTTTATGACGTTTTTTTATCACAGAATATGTAAATATTGTCACACTCCCAGAAATAAGAATAAAGTATTGTTCAGATTCTTTAAAGATTCAAAAGAATTAAAGATTTTTTGTCGAGCTACTAGACTCGCAGAGCGTTGGCGTTGTAGAGCGTGCAATTTCCATTTGCAAGGTATAAATTTCCTTGCAAAAGGAAATTTTGGCCTTTGCAAGGAAATGTGCAAGGAAATAAATTTCACAATGAAATGGCAAGGAATTTTGTTGCCAGGAAGGAAATAAGAAAGGATATTACGTTATTTCTATAAATCGTAAGATTACAGCAATTTCCAAGCAAATTCGCTTCAGAAAATGTCGAAAATCCTTTCTTGGGGAATGGAAAATCTGAAAAATTTTTGAGGTATGACCTCATCAAGCCCATAGATCAAGCCCCCTGTTTCTTCCACTTTGAATAATTTTAGGTCAACTTCTCCTTTGACAATCCCTTCCCTGCAACGTCCATGATTCTTCTCGCCCGAGAAACACGCCGTTATTCAGGATAAATTATTGTAATATCAGTTTTAAAGTAGGTAAAATTCATCAACTTTAAAGCAAGGAAATTTTGAAAAAATAAGGACATTTTGAGCAGTTGAGAAGGAATTTTTTATAGTGGAAGCACTGGTGGTCGCGCAACTTTAAGTTTACATTATATGATGAAAACACTGATTTCATCATTTTTTACATTTTTATTAATTTATATTCAGGGGCTGGAGATCTCTCGATTGCCGCAAGTTTTTTCAAAAATATTAAAATGCGTCCGAAATATAACAAAAAATGTTATAACCACTTATTCTTTTGCCGCGAAAGTTGTAATTGTAATCACAGGCGGCCCAATCTTACCCTGTGTTATTAATTACGTTATATCTTTATATATAAATAATATAATATATTGAAAATCATTAGAAAATCGTGTGTTATTAATTTATTACGTTATATCTTTATATAATAGTATAATGAAAAGCACTTACATGTGTTTCCTGAAAGATTTTAACGAGAACCGGCCAAGATTGGCGTTGACAAGAGGTTAACGGCCATAGTTGGGGTTGACATGAGGATTAACAGCAAGAAATAATACAAGGCTGGTCACTTTGAAAGTGACCGTTAATGTCTTGGTGGTGCATGACAGATCTGTATTCTGCATTTTCGTTTGGCCGATTTAGATCGGTCCGTATAGCTATCCCCCTTTTTACATTTGCGTTTCGCCGGTATATTAGCAATTCAAGTTTTTTTTGGGTGGTTTCTCGCATGTACGGTTTGTGATAAACTGATAATGAGTGAATGACACCTAAAACCCTTGCCAAAACACACTTTACTAAATCGGCCAAATCTAATATCGTCTCAGTTTTACGGAGATTGAAATATTCTCAGATTGTCCCCACAAAAACAGTTTAGAAACGCGCAACGTTTTATCTGATTCCCTCCAAACTTTGCCACAATGTTGAACAATAGTACAGGAGCAAAACCGTGTTCGCGTTTTTTATTTAGTGCCATACTTTTCAAGTCATAGGCATCTGTTCTGCCGTTCTCCCAAAATTTAGATGAGTCAACTTGTCTGCTTTATATCAAAGCAAATACAATACCTGTCAAAAAATGCGAACACGGTTTTGTTCTTTGATCATTTGAGATGGGAAATATGGAAATATTATGTTTCGGAAGCCTTTGAGTTAAATCAGAAGCGTTCTGATCTCGTGGCGCAAAGGCCGTCATATTTTCAAAAGCAACCCGTAGCAAGTACAGTTTTTAAAGATGTAGAATTTTTGGTAAATCGTTAGCTACAGCAATGATTTATCATTATGTAAGGGGGAAACTTGAAAATTGAGGCGGTGAGCATTTTGATGAAATGGGTTTCCATCATGCGGAGTAACCTTAACTACTTCATGTCCTTCATGTCTTGTTTTTTTTTTATGTTACTCTGAGTGTATAATATATTCACACCGGGCAGGCTGAAAAGTTAGCTGACCACGGTGGGAATCGAACCGCGACCTTTGGGATACTAGTCCAATCACAGAATAGAAAATAAAATATATTCTATTCTGTGGTCCAATGATCTGCCAACTGAGCTACGAGGCCAACAGTTCGAGTGTGTGGTATTTCGGAACTACGTCTAGTACCTTCGATACCAATGACCAATGTGTTCTATGATCATGATTTTAGTATTATATTACATTATATTCACCTGAGTGCATAACATCAAAACACACGGCAAAAATACTTCATGTCTGCCTATTATTGTGTCCCGGCATGTTGATGAGTTGACAATTTTGAATTGTGAGTTGACAATTTTGAATTGTGAGTTGATAATTTTGAATTGTGAGTTGATAATTTTGAATTGTGAGTTGATAATTTTGAATTGTGAGTTGACAATTTTGAATTGTGAGTTGACAATTTTAATTTGTGAGTTGACAATTTTGAATTGTGAGTTGATAATTTTGAATTGTGAGTTGATAATTTTGAATTGTGAGTTGATAATTTTGAATTGTGAGTTGATAATTTTGAATTGTGAGTTGACAATTTTAATTTGTGAGTTGACAATTTTGAATTGTGAGTTGACAATTTTGAATTGTGAGTTGACAATTTTGAATTTGGAATTGTGAGTTGATAATTTGGAATTGTGAGTTGATAATTTGGAATTGTGAGTTGATAATTTGGACTAGTGTTTTAAGTTTAGAATTACGTTTTTGACTTTGG